CATACATAGTCTTAATTCAAAAGGTTATACATTAGTCTGGCAGGTGTTGCAAAGCACTTGAGTTTCAATCCATGAACCAAAAGTCACAAGTTCAATTCCAGGTCAGAGCACATGCCCAGGGCTCTATAAATAGTAGAGGGCATGCAGGAGGCAGCCAATTAATATTTCTATCTCTTTCCCTCTCTCTCTAAAAATACATAAATAAATAAATGAATAAATAAATAAATAAATCTTTATTACATAATCTTTATCCAAAGGATCTAATACTTTGTAATTTGTAAAGATATAGGCAGGGGAAAACCCTACCTTATACAGTTTGAGGTGAAAATTCGAAATCAGGACCACTGGTGACTTTGAGTAGTGATAAAGGCAAATTAAATTACTCCCAATACTTAAAACCACTTGGTCCAGAGGGAATCCCAGGATAGCCTTTACAGGCCTCCAATTACATTATCAATATAAATGAATAGCACAAATGACTGTTCTTTTTGAGAAAAACTGTGTTTGCATCTCTACTTTTGTTTTCTTCCTCATACTTTAAGAGAACTTTGTCATCATCATCATCTTCAACACACACAGGAACACCAAGAACCACTGTGTCCTTGCTTAAAGCAGAAATCAAACCATACCTATCCTGTCGAACTTTTGCTAAAAGGCAAAGGGGAAAAAAAACAGATTTGAGAGTTTGGAGAAAATTAGTTCAAACTTAGCTTTTGTAATTTATTAGCTTTTTAAAAGATGAATTGTCTTAAGGTTATAAATTTCAGTTTTTGTATCTGTAAAATGGGGAAAACAACACCTAATTACTTCACAAGGTCAGTAAAAGTATGTGTTTTGAAGTAATTTGAAAACTATGAAGTGATTTGCAAATGTATTGTTACAACTGGAGTTTATTTGTTTAGATTTCAATGTTAACATATTATTTTGATATAATTTTGAATCGAGTAATAAAAATATTATATTCATTTAGGAATTATTTATTCAGTATTTTCTGTGTTACAATATCCTATCTAACAAAAAGGCAATATACAAATTGACTGTACCCCTACTATACCCACAGGACACACCCACCAGCCAATCAGGAGTGAGTATGCAAATTAACCCAACCAAGATGGCTGCAACCACAGAGTGAGCAGGCAGTTTGGGTTTCCCAGGCAATTGAGGAAGCCAAGCTTCCCGAACAACCTGGCCAACTGTGGACTCCAGTCAAGGCTACAAAATTTCAATTATACAAGATAAATAAATCCCAACAAAAATGGTGGCAGCCACAGAGCTGGAGCGAGCAGGAGGCTTGTGTTTCCCAGGTGATGGAGAAAGCCACACTTTTAGCTGGCCCACGCCTCCACTCAAGGCTATAAAGTTTCAATTACAGAAGATAAATAAATCCCCCCCAAAAATGGCTATAGCCACTGAGCAAGCAGGAGGCTTGGGTTTCCCTGGCAATGGAGGAAGCCAAGCTTTCTGCACACCCTGGCCTGCCCTAGCCTCTGCTCAAAGGCTACAAAGTCTCAATTCTAAAAGAAATAAATCCCAGATACCAGGGCCTCTGCTTGGGTCGCTGGGGTTGTGGCCAGCCTGCAATCGACAACAGGCCCTTCACCCGGCTGCCCCATGCCCCAAGGGAACCCACACTCTGTTCTGGGGTACCCTTCAGGGAAAACTAGCCGGTCTCCACCCGTGCACCAGGCCTCTATCCTATCTAATAAAAGAGTAATATACAAATTGACTATCACTCTAACACACAAGATGGCTGCCCACATGTGGACACAAGATGGTTGGCAGAGGAGGGACCAGGTCTGCAAAGAAGGGCAGTTGGGGGCGATCAAGCCAGCAGTGGAGAGCAGTTGAGAGAGACCAGGCCTGTAAGGGAGGGCAATTGAGGGCGATCAAGCCTGAAGGGGAGGACAGTTGGGGGGAGGGGGGGACTCAAGCCAGCAGGGGAGGGCATTTGGGGAGGACCACACCTGCAGGGGAGGGCAGGTAGGGGCAATTGGCTGGAAAGGGAGCAATTAAGCATCAATCAGGTTGGCAGGAGAGTGGTTTAGGGGGTGATTAGGCTGGCAGCCAGAAGTGGTTAGGGGCAATCAGGAAGGTAGGCAGGTGAGCAATTGGGAGCCAGCAGTCCTACTGGGATCTGGCCTAAACGGGCAGTCAGATAGCCCTCGAGGGGTCCCAGATTGGAAAGGGTGCAGGCTGGGCTGAGGGACACACACACACCCATGCACAAATTTCATGCACCGGGTCTCTTGTAGAGAATATCAAAATGATAGCTATCCCTGTTTTCAGAGAGGGGGAGGGGAAGATGTGATTTTGGTTTTTGCCAACACTTATTCAGCATTTTCTTTGTGCCAGACATCATAATAAATACTTTACATGAAGTACTTTTAATCTTTAAAACACCTATATAAAAGTTAATATTTTAAACCCATTTTATAGATGAGAAAGATAGGGATAATCAGTTTGGAAACCTGCACAAGGTCAGACACCTAGTAAGTATTAAAAATATTAGAGTCAACTCACAGGCTCATGCAAGTTAGTTATATCCTTATGCTATGTTATATCTCAAGTTGGGCTGAACACACACATACATCATCTACACTAATAAAAGAGAAACATGCAAATTGATCATCTCTCCACTACACCCACCAGCCAATCAGGAGTGAGTATGCAAATTGCTTCAACAAAAATGGTGGTGGCCATGGAGCTGGAGCAAGCAGGAAGTTTGGGTTTCCCCTGGCAATGGAGGAAACCAAGCTTCCTGCCAACCCTGCCCTCTGCTCAAGGGTTCCCTCAGCCTCTTACCCAGGCTGGCCATATCCCTATGGAGTAAGAGTCCCCACTGCGGGGAGGGTGGCCAGCTTGATAACAGCCCTCAGCACCTCACAGCATGGCCATGCCCCCCCCAGAGGGGACCCTCACAGCATGAAGGTATGGCCAGCCTGCAAACCACCACAGGCCCTCACCCAGGCTGCCCCATGCCCCAAGGGAACCCCCACTCTGATCCTGGACACCCTTCAGGGCAAACTAGCTGGCCCCCACCCCATGCACCAGGCCTCTATCTATACTAATAAAAGGGTAATATGCTAATTAGACTGGGAGACCTTCCAGGAGACCTTCCAGACATTCTTCTGGACAAAGCCATGGTGGCGGGGCCGAGGTAGAGGCAATTAGAAGCCAGGAGGAGAGGGAAGTTGTGGGTGATCAGGCCAGGATGGGACAGCAATTGTGGGTGATCAGATCAGTGGAGGGTATTGGGGGTGAGCAGACCAGGAGGGGGGCCAGTTGGGGGTGAGCAGGCCATCAGTGGGGGTCAGTTGGGGATTATAAGGACAGTGGGGGGTAAGTTTGGGGTGAGCAGGCCAGCAAAGGGGCTGTTGGAGGCAAGCAGGCCAGTGGAGAGGGCAGATGGGGGTGAGTAGGCTTGCGAGGGGGGGGCAGTTTGGGGCAAGCAAGCTGGCACAGGGGGCAGTTGGGGATGATCAGGCTGGTGGGGAGGGGCATTTGGGGGTGAGCAGGCCAACAGTGTGGGGCAGTTGGGGGCAAGCAGGACCACAGGCAGAGTGGTTAGGGGCAATCAGGCAGGCAGGCAGATGAGCAATTAGGAGCTAGCAGTCCCGGATTGCAAGAGGGATGTCCAACTGCTGGTTTAAGCCCAATCCCTGTAAACCAGCAGTAGGACATCCTTCAAGGGGTCCCAGATTGGAGAGGGTGCAGGCTGGGCTGAAGGACACCCTCCGCCCCATGTACGAATTCCATGCACCAGGCTACTAGTCTATATATATCAAAGGCTTTGCGACTGTCTGACCAGTAACTATGACATGCAATGACCATTAGGGGGCAGATGCTCAACACTGGAGCTGCTAAGCTGCAGTGACTTAGCAGCTGCAGTTCTCGGGTGATGCACCCCAGAACCAGAGAGGAAGGAGCTCAATTCAGGGGGGTGCATCACCTGAGAACCATCCTCTCACAATCCGTGACCCCTTAGAGGATGTCAGAGAGCCTGTTTCAGCCTGAACCCCACAGGCCAGGCCAAGGGACTCCCACTCACTCCACAGACATCTTTCCAGCCGTGGCACTGGCCCAGGTGCAGCCGGCAAGGAAGGATGGCAGATTTGGCTCCAGGGCATGTCCAGCCTGTTTTACTCAGTCCCACCCTGCCAGCCACCTTCTAATTACTAATAATATCCTTTCAATGTGCACAAATCCAAGCATCAGGGCACTAGTTTAAATATAATATACATAAAGGAAAATACAAAATTCCCATATTAACTTGTGAAATATCTCATTCAGTAGACTCTCTTTTATAGACTGGATTTACTTCCTAATTGAAATAGAGCAAAAACTGACTTATAGCAATGTCCATGTATCTATATACCAATCTTAATATAATCCATTTCATTTAAAAGAATTACCATTTAATTGTCATTTTCCTATTATCAAGCCAATTCAACACTTCAACACAGGTCCATTACTAAGAAAAAGAACTTGATATCAAATAATATATGTTTCCATGAAAAAAAAAATGACCGAAGGCAAATAAATTATTTTCAGTGTAAGAGAAACGCTGTGTTGCTTTTCCATTGTATAGACAGCAGGCTTCTGGCCCTACTTGCACCTCTGAATTTGTATATTTTCTACTGCATTTTATATATAGAATAACAATTTTCAGATCTACTTTTCAAATGGCACACTAAATAAGGGATGAGGAAAGCTGGCCCAGGGGTTATAGAAGACCTGAGAAATCATTTGGTCTGGTGCTACCAAGTCATGAGTGGTGAACTAAGTAAATGTTTTATCAAATATAGCAGGCTAATTTTTAAGTTGATAATTTTGTATAGCCTTCGAATGATGCTTTAAATATCCAAATGGCCCTTAGCAGAAAAAAGGTTCCAGACTCCTACACTAAACAATGGCCAACAATGGTTTCTACTTGTTTCAATTCCCAGCAGAAAAAGTATACATATTGCTTGTTGGTCCTGTGTATATACCATGCAACTTACCAAACGATAGGTCTGAGCTTTCAAAACATTGAGATCAATAAAGTTTTCTTCATTATCTGTCTCTTCTTCCTTAGAAAAACAAAAAGAGTTTTAAAAGTTAATAATTATAAAGTTACCATTTAAAAAAGTACTTCCAACTTTCACATACACATTAAACCCTATATATAGACTAATTCAGGAAAGGGTATTAAAAGTCTAGTAATATGTGTAAAGTTATTAGCAGCACATCTGCTTTTTGAGGATTTGACGATGCCATTTAAAATGGGCAAAAAATAGTGCAGTAAAGACCTGGGGAGGGATGGGAGTGGGGTAGGGAGGGGTTAATGGCTAGGTGGGGGGTGGAAACATCTGTAATAATTTCAACAATAAAGATAAATTTTAAAAAAATAAATAATGTGGGCTTTTTTTTTTTAAGTCATTGAATGAAGAAAAAAAGGAAGAGTGCCATTACTATAGAACTAGAGATAAATATGCATAAGAATAGAATAAGAAAAAGTCCCAAATAGCATATCTGAAACAGATAGTGGAAAAAGTTAATGGAAATTTTGAATAACATGATTAAAATAGATAAAAATGACAGGTTGACAGACAAAATATTCTTATCTACTCCAGGGACCAATCACATTAATGAAAGTTTTTGATATCTCTTACATGCTCAGGTTTAATCAGTTAATTAGTTAAGTCACCAGTATTGTACTTCCTGGCCCATGGCCCCTAAATCTATTTAAAGATATTAAATATTAAATCTATTTAATAATAATGAAATATATATTTATTTAAGATACTAACTTTGTGTCTTATATATTAACTATCTAAAACAGGGATGGGGAATGTCTGGCCCCAGGGCCAAATATGGACTGAGAAGTCATTTGATCTGGCCCTGCCAAAGTATTAAGGGTGAATTAAATGTTTGACCAAATATAGCAGGCTAATTTTTAAGTCGATAATTTTGTATGGCCCATGAATGATGTTATAATTATCCAAATAGCCCTTGGCAGAAAAAAGGTTCCCTATCCTGAACTAAAAGGATAGTTCAGGTAGATTCCAAGCCGGTCCTAATCTCTGAACCAATTTCTATGGAAGGTGGGGTCAGAAATGACCTTTTGAGAGGTAATTCTTTCCCCAATATACAGTAAATACAGAATCTGAGGAGGTTCTATAAGCATGTATAAAGACAAAACATTAACTCCCTTTTCTCTTCAAATGTCTTTGTGGTGACAGTGACATGATATGTTGGGTGAAAGAAATTTAACAAGAATATCCCAAACTTAAGAATCTTATCTAATAATAGACAAACATGTAAACTGACCATACTTCCACTATGTCCACCAGCCAATCAGATGGGAATATGCAAATTCCCATCTGATTGGGCTGTTACCAAAGATGGTAACAGCCCAGCTGCTCCAAGTGTGGAGTGGCCAAGCTGGGCAGAATGCCTGCTATGAGAAGGAGGGCGGGGGCAAAGGAATCTATAGGAGCAGTACTCCAGCCACAGCAAAGACAAAGATTGCAGACTCCTCCGGTGTCTGCAGCAAAAAACAAAAATGGCAACTCTAGCCGGAGTCTGCAGTGAAGATGAAGGTGGCAGACTCCGGTTGGACTGAAGGCCTGGGTTCCAGGTGCCAGTGTTGGAAGCCAAGGGAAAAAAGGCCTATTGCTTGAATCTCTTCATGCAGTGGGCCTCTATTATGGTAATAAAGCCAATGAAGCATGGTCCTCAAGTCTTATAAAGAAAAAAAAAAAAAAACTGGGTTTTGTTCAGTGGGCACTTCCACATGCAGTTATACAAAAGCAGCAGTAAAAGATTTCAAAGATAATCCTTATCTGCAAGAATTTAAAAGTATATAAGAAAGTGGTTCTCAAAGGTGGTTCTGAGACCAGCAGCTTCAGTATGACATGGGAGCTTGTAAGAATGCAAATTCTAAAGCTCCATCCTCAATCTGCTCAGAATCTCTGGGGCGGTGCCACTAAAGTTATATGTGAGAACTATGCTAATCTTTGGGGAACTGGAATGCTTTTAGTAAAATATAGAACAATGTAAATGAAGTTTCCATACACTCAAGTGACATTTACTTTTTTAGGGAGGGGGCAGTGGCGCATGGAGGTGTAGATAAAACAGATCTGTTTACATCTTAAATCCTCAGCATATATGCAGATGCACACTTTTAAAAAGCAACTCAGTCTAGTCTGTGTTTGCACTAATGATGGTCTTTTTAACCAGGAGAGTAAACAATTGAAATGCCAATGATTCAACGCCCATGGGAGATGAGACAAGTTTATGTTTTTGCAATAATCTACTCAGTACAGTTTACATAGGCAATCAATAAATACTTGTTGAAATTTACGGGTTGAGCACTAATAGGTAAAACAAAAACAAACAAAAAAAAAACAACCAACTTTAATAGTAGGTACTAGGAAAAGGAATCAAGTTACTAAACATTATTAAGGGAGCATTCAAAAGGAATCTATACTAATAAAAGGGTAATATGCTAATTAGACCAGATGACCTTCTAAACAAAGCCATGGTGACTGGGCCAAGGCAGAGGCAGTTAGGGGTGATCAGGATAGCAGAGGAGAGCAGTTAGGGGGATCAGGCTGCAGGCAGGTGAACAGTTAGGAGCCAGCGGTCCTGGATTGCAAGAGGGATGTCCGACTGCCAGTTTAGGCCCAATCCCACAGGAATTGATTCTCCTCTAAACTGGTAGTTGGACAACCCCCAAGGGGTACTGGATTAGAGAGGGTGCAGGCCAGACTGAGGGACACCCCCGCCGACCATGCATGAATTTTGTGCACCGGGCCTCTAGTTCGAATTTAAATAGAAAACATAGCTTTAAACTAAACTGTGGATTCTAATCTCAGTAATTTAGAAGGCACTCACCATTTCCTACCATTTCTTTGCCTAATATGCACCCTCCTAATTCTCTTACTGCCAGTTACTAAGAATATGATTATACATAGCAGGTGATAATATTCTTTTGTGACCAATATTAACTTTTTCTTTAATAGTTATCAATGTGTCCTATCATGATTTGGACAAGCTAAAACTAAAGGTTTCTAGTTTTTACTAGTAGATGATTATAGCAGGACTTTATTCTGCCACAAATTATCTTTATCAGCCACCCCACAACCTCTGGAAACAAAATGAAATAACATATATCCTGTTTTCCCAAAAATAAAAGTGTCTTATATTAAGTTTTACTCCCAAAGATGCGCTAGGTCTTATTTTCAGGGGATGCCTTATTTTTCCATGAAGAATACAGTACACATTTATTGTTAAATTAAAATAAAGGAAATTTATTACCTGTATACGGTACAGTAGTATGGTAGTTGTCAACACAAACCAGACAACTGGGAATCCTACAGTATCAAGAATTTACTCATTTATTCAATGACAATCATGTCATCATCTTCTGGAACATCATCATAACAATCCAATTCCTGAATTTCCTGGTGAATTTCTTGTGACTCCATTTCTTTCAGAATTAGTGGATCAAATCTCTTATGTATCAAGGTGGGGGGAGGCAGATCACTTAAAATGACACAGAGGGGATCAGAGGGGAAAATCAAAATGGCACAGGAGAATCAGAGGGGGGTTACCATTTTAGTAACCCCTTTTGATCCTATGTCATTTTGATTGCCCCATCTGATCCTCCTGTGTCATTTTAAGTGATCTCCTTCCCACCTCCCCTGAACACCTTCACCAGACATCTCCTCTACCCCTTTATCAGACATTTACCCCCAGGGGCCTGCCTGGGGACTGTCACTGGGCTTGCTGGGGCCTGGATCTGGGCTGGAGCAGGGTCTGCCACTGACTGAGAACCTTCAGTCATCATGAGGGCGGCCACAAGCATCAGGTAATGTCACCAGAGACAGACTAGCACTCACCACCTTCACCTTGTCCCATCCTCTCTAATCCGCCAGTTCTTCTACATGCATCTGTGAAAGTCTCCTCCTCTCTCCCACCCCACGCTCACAGCTCACTCAGACCTCCACTCCGCCTCCTCACAGCAGTGATGTCAGGATTCTATAACATCACTGGTGCTAGACGCCAGTTGGGGCGACCAGTTTACGGTAAATTAATTTTTATTGAGACAGAGCCTGGGGGGAGGGGGGGGCTTTTTTTCAAGGGGATGCCTTATATTTCACTCAGAAGGAAACCTGTAAGTAGGTCTTATTTTCGGAGGATGTTTTATTTTCTGGGAAACACAGTAACCACCCAAATGACTTTTTTTTTTTTTTTTTAATTCTCACCTGAGAATATATTTTTCATTAATTGTAGAGAGAGAGGGAGAAAGAGAAACACTGATTGGTTGCCTTCCATACACACCCAACCTGGGATTGAATTCACAACCTGGGTATGTGCCCTGACTGGGAATCAAACTGGAGACCCTTGGATGCATAGGACAACGGAATCACATCAGCCAGGGCCTACAGGCTTCTTCTTCTTCTTCTTTTTTTTTTTTTTTTAATATATTTTATTGATTTTTTACAGAGGAAGAGAGAGGGATAGAGAGTTAGAAACATCGATGAGAATCATCGATCAGCTGCCCCTTGTACACCCTCTACTGGGGATATGCCCGCAACAAGGTACATGCCCTTGACTGGAATCGAACCTGGGACCTTTCAGTCCACAGGCCAACGCTCTATCCACTGAGGTAAACCATTTTTGGCACTACAGGCTTTTTAATGATGATGTAGTTATCCTTAGCCAGAGGAATGGGAGAGATAAGTGGACCCCTTAAAATAATATGACAGTAAGGAAGAAAGGAAAGAAAAATAACTTCAAGAGACATGCCGTAACCGGTGAGGGGTGTGCAGGAGGCAACTGGTGGATGGATCTCTCTCATCGATGTTTCTAGCTCTCTATTCATCTCCTTTCCTCTCTGTGAAAAATCAATAAAATATATTTAAAAAAAAAAAAAAAGAGAGAGACACATGACTAAGAGAACTAATAACTTCAGAGGCAACCCTTTGAGGAAAGCTTTGTTTGGACTTATGACTATAGAAGTTCTTTACCTCACAGTTGGGAAGAAATATATGATGGGCTGCTTTCTATTTTGTTTCTTTAATTTACATGCCCAATAATGCTGCTTTGAACTTTCAAGGGTTCTCAGAAAAAAAATTACCTATCATTTTTTAAAGTTACACAGCAATGTGCTGACAGATGATTTTGTGGTCAAATATTTAATGAACACCTACTATGCATCAGATACTGCACAATAAATTAGAGATGCAAAAAAAACCCCACAAAATTATTTCTGCTCTCAGGGAATTATCTTTTGGATGAGAACATTTTGTTAGTTTGTTTTAATCCTCACCCAAGGATATTTTTTTTATCATTATTATTGATTTTAGAGAGAGGAAGGGGGATAAAGGGAGAAACATCGATGTGAGAGAAAAACATCCACAATGATTGGTTGCCTCCTGCATGCATCCCAACCAGGGATCAAACAGAAACCAAAGTATGTGCCTTGACCGGCAATCAAATATGCAACCTCCCGGTATACGGATGATGGTCCAACTAAGTAAGCCACGTGACCAGGGCTGATGAGTATGTTTTTGTACTTTATTTTTTCTGAGCATTTATAGCAGTTTCAAGTTATGTCTTTAAAGCTAAATGTTGATGCACTACGACCAGGTATCTGTCAATAAGCTAGTAACTAATAAACAGTTATTAAGAAGACAAGATGACAGGGGACAGGATGAGCTAGAAGAGCTCAATGCAAAAAAAGGAGGACATTTGTAATACTTTCAACAATAAAGATTAAAAAGAAAAGAAACAAGATGAGAAATATACCTGAGTAAAATAAGTGAAGTGAAAAACTGGGAATATGTGAAGTCTTAAAACTTTTCTAAATCTGAATAAAAAGATCTTTTACAGAAAGAATGAAGTCTAAACTCGTAAAAAATGCCTCAAATAATAAGGACTTGGCCTATCTCCCCAGTTCATCATAAGCCACCCTTTTCCCAACCCTCATTTAGGAGATCTGGCCACAAGTTTTATCTTAGTTCCTTGATCAGACTAAATTCCTTCCTGCCTCAGAGCTTTTATACATGCAATACAACTAGGGTCTCACTCAGTGCCTGCCACACAACAGGTGTTCAATAAACACATGTAGAATGAATGAATATATTTTTACCTTAACTTTTTAAAAAAATATATTTTATTGATTTTTTTACAGAGAGGAAGAGAGAGGGACAGAGAGTTAGAAACATCGATGAGAGAGAATCATCGATCAGCTGCCTCTTGCACACTCCCCACCAGGGATGTGCCCACAACCAAGGTACATGCCCTTGACCGGATTCGAACCCGGAACCTTTCAGTCCCCAGGCTGACGCTCCATCCACTGAGCCAAACCGGTCTCGGCTATTTTTACCTTAACTTTTAAAATATAAAAATTCTTGTGATAAAAATAATCTTTTAAATTGGTTAGTTTTACAATGGTTTTTTTCCTTCTATATAACATGTTAAATGTTCTAAAAATAAAATTATTACTCATAATACTGCTACTCATATATAACTAATGTTAACCTATTGATATTATTTTTCTTTATTCACACATTTTTCATAGCTGAGTTTATGTATATTATAGTATCATGCCCATGTAACAATTCTTTGTAAACAATTTTTTTTCAGTCCAATAATATTTATGTATTTTAAAATGTATATTCAGCTTGTGAAATAGACACACAGTGAAGAAGTATTTCATTTCACATGACTTTTAAACCCAGCAATTTGACTATATATACCTAGTGATTTTACAGTTGACACTAGAGGTCCAGTGCACAAATTTGTGCATGAGTGAGATCTGGCAGGCCTGCCCCAAAGGAGGCCCATCAGGCCAGGCTGGCAGCAGGGAGGGACATTGGGTGATTGGCTAGCTAGCCCCACCCCCAATCGGGGTGTTGGGGTCTGATCTGGGCAGGACCAGCCAGGGGAGGGGCTGAGGCTAGCCAGGGGAAGGGGCCTCAGGCAATTGGGGGCCAACTGGGGACCAGGCCAGTTGGGGGTGGGGCTAATTGGGCTGGTTGCCTGCCACAGTACCCTTCATAGCCACCAGTCATTTTGGTCGTTCTGGTTATTCCACTGTCCCATTCATTGGCTATTATATATATGGATACAATATTATACTAGTTTCAAGTGTACAAGATAGTGATTTAACATTTACATACCTTAGGAAGAGATCACCATAGTCAGTCTAGGAATAATCTGTCACTATACATAGTTATGATACTATTAACTATACTGGAGGCCCAGTACACAAAAATCTGTGCACTCAGGGGTGTGTCCCTCCCCTACCAGCCCAAATGCCCCTAACTGCTGTCCCTGCAAGCCTGATTGCCACCAATTGCCCTATGCTGCAGGCCTGCTCAACCCCAACTGCCCACCCTGCTGGCCTGGACACCCGCAATTGCCCTCCCCTGCAGGCATAATCCCAATTGCCCTCCCTTGCAGGCCTGGTCCCACCCAACTGCCCTCCCCTGCAGGCCTGGTCCCCTACAATTGCCCTCCCTTGCAGTCCTGGGTCCTCCTCAACCGCCCTGCCCTGCAGGCCTGGTCCTTCCCAACTGCTCTCTCTGCAAGTGTGGGTCCCCTCCCGCCCCCAACTGCCCTTCCCTGCTGGCCAAGTCACCCTTAAATTTCCTCCCCTGCAGAGCTGGTTGCCCCCAACTGCCTTCCCTGCAGGCCTGGGTCTTTCACAACTGCCCTCCCTTGCTGGCCTGATCACCCATAACTGCCCTCCCCTGCTGGCCATCTTGTGGAAGTCTTCTTGTGTCCACATGGGGGTAGTAATCTTGTATGTTGGAGTGATGGTAAATTTGCATATTACCCTTTTGTTAGATAGGATTCCCTATGCTGTACAATATATCCTTATAACTCATTTTATAACTAGAAGTTTGCACTTCTTACAAACAAGTATTAAAATAGTAGCCCTGCCACTGTGGCTCAGTGGCTAAGCTTCAATCTATGAACCAGGAGGTCACTGTTCGACTCCCAGTGGGGCATCCAGGAGGCAGTTGACCAATGATTCTCTCTCATCATTGATGTTTTTATCTCTCTCTCCCTCTCACTCTCTGAAATCCATAAAAACATATTTTTTTAAAAAAATTTTCATGGAGACATTACATTCTATTATTAAATGTAACCCAAGTTCTTTTATGGTAATTTCCAGCACTTATTATAAAACAATGCAGTGACTAATATCTTTGTATCATATACCAGCTAAATAAATTACTTTAAGCTTAAATATAAAATATACTTATTATATATTAACTAAAAGCCCGGTGCATGAATTTATGCATGGGTGGAGTCCTTCAACCTCACCAGCAATTAAGGCCAATTGGAATCATGGCCTCAGGTTGGTCAGGGGAGGGGACACAGGAGGTTGGCTAGTGGACCCATGGGGTTCATCAGACTGGCTGGCCAGGGGGAGGGATCACAGGAGGTTGGCCAGCTTGGGGGAGGAACCGCAGGAGGTTGACTGTGTGAATGCACTGACCATCAGGGGGCAGCTTCTGTGTTGAGCATCTGCCCCCTGGTGATCAGTGCACATCATAGTGACCAGTTGGCCAGTCGTTCAGTTGCTTAGGCTTTTATATATATATTTTTTTTTACAATCACCTGGAAAATTCAACTGGTTTATGAGAGTAAAATACACGGGTATTTTAATTTTATATCATATCTATACTTCCAAAAAACCAGGGTTAATACAACTATGATTCTAAGAGCCCTTTGTTTCTATAGTTTCCCCGAAAATAAGACAGTGTCTTATATTAATTTTTACTCCCAAAGATGCACTAGGTCTTATTTTCAGGGGATGTCTTATTTTTCCATGAAGAAGAATATGGTACACATTTATTGTTAAATGGAAATAAAAGAAATTTATTACCTGTATACGGTATGATAGTACCGTAGTTGTCAACACAAACCAGACAAACTGTGAATCCTACAGTATCAAGAATTTACTCATTTATTCAATGACAATCATGTCATCATCTTCTGGAACATCATCATAACAATCCAATTCCTGAATTTCCTGGTGAATTTCTTGTAACTCCATTTCTTTCAGAATCAGTGGACCAAATCTCTCATGTTTAGCCTAGGGGGGCCTTATTTTCGGGGATGCCTTATATTTCACTCAGAAGGAAACCTGTAAGTAGGTCTTATTTTCAGAGGATGTCTTATTTTCGGGGAAACACGGTAACATTTTATGAGTCTAGTCTATTGTAAAAACTTGATATTTAGCTTCACACTATGGATAAGATGTTGACTGGAAAAAAGCCCAGATGCTGCCAACAGTTTAAATAATGTTGCATTTAAAATTTTAAAGTTCTAATATTGGTGTTTATCTTTATTTTAGAAGCATAATGGAGTTTCTGAGACATAAATGGTGTTCTTATTAAGAAGAATGCATTAATCTTAAATTCTATTGTTCTGTTTTAAATTGTTTTTTTATTTACGATCTATTAGAGATCATGAACATTTGTTAATAAAGTGTTTGCTCATATAACTAGGAGTCTACTATTTCCTGTCTATAATTTAGAACCTCTATTAAAATTCAGATCTCAGTCACTAGAGAACATGAGCATTAACTTAAGCAAACATCTAAACAACTGAACTTCTTGTCTCTAGAAAAAATGAAATAAAAATATGTCAGAAAATAGAAACCTCGGAGAATTAAAAGAAGAAAGAAGAATTCAAAGGTGAAAATGAATAATAAGTTCAGTAACACTCATACCACAAATTCTTCATCCATTTTATTTAATGTTAATTCTGCATCATCTTCTGGAACAGTTTCTTCTTCTAATTCTTCCACTGGGTATGTTGGTCTAAAATAATAAAGCTAATATGAGTTGAGAATTGAAAACAAACGCTCTAGCAGGACAAAAAGGTATAAACAATGTAAATATTAAGGATCTTCTCTATAACAGATTTTGTCCTTTTCCACCCCACTTACATAATCACTATTAAATGATTCATGTATTCTTCCTGAAACTTTCTATGTAAAGAAGCAAAATACTTATCGCCAAATTTAAAGAATAAATTTACACAAATAGGCTAATTCCATGCATTCTGTTAACCAATGTACTTTCTTCATTTACTTATATACCACATGTAAGTACCTATTCATATATCTCTTCCTCTCTCTGCATGTATTCTACTTAACAGCAGCATCATAATATTAATTTAACTTGCAACCTATGGCTGAACATTAATTTTGTTTCCAGTTTCCTAACTAGACAATATTGCAAAGGTCATCATTGTATATTTTTCATTGTGTATTTCATTACAATAAATTGTACACATAGAATGGCTGGATCAACAACTTTGTACACTTTATTGTGTTACTAAATATTGCCAAAATTTATTGCTATAATGTTGCCCTTCTAACAACAGTGACTCCATTTCCATATGTTCACCAATATGGTAAACAAACTTTAATATTTGCCAATCATTTAACTGAAATATCTCACTTATTTTAATTGTATTTTTTTACATTGAGGTGGTTGAATACCTTTTAATGTTTTAATTGATTATATGTATTTCTTTTTCAAGGAAAGCCTATTTATGTCCTTTGACTTTTTATATATGAAGAAAATTAATGCATAGCCTAACCTGTATTAAAAATGTTTTCCTAGTTTATTATATACTAGAGGCCCAGTGCATGAAAATTTATGCACTCAGGGGATTGGGGGTAGGGTAGGGGGGGGGGGTTCACCTCAGCCCGACCTGTACCCTTTCACTGTCCAGGATTCCTTGGGGGATTTCCACTTTCCTGCTAAGGCCCAGCCCCTGGGATATTGGGCCTAAGCTAGCAGTCAGACATCCCTCTGGCAGCCTGGGAGCCCTCGGGGGATGTCAGACTGCAGTTTAGGCCTGAGGGGAGTGGGCCTAAACCAGTTAGACATCCTTAGCACTGCAGAAGAGGCAGGAGAGGCTCCCGCCACCACCACTGTACTTGCAGCCTTCAACTCGGCTTATGGATGAGTGGTGCTCCCCCTGTGGGAGCACATGACCATCAGGGGTCCTGCGTTGAGCATCTACCCCCTGGTGGTCAGTGCATGTCATAGTGACTGGCTGTTCTGGATCATTTCTCCATTAGAGTCAATTTGCATATTACCTTTTAGTATCCTATCTAATAAAGAGGAACTCTGCAAATTTAATGTCACACCACCACAAAGATGGTGGCACCCACAGCCACAAGATGGCGGTGTCCAGTGCCCTCAGCCCTGCCAAAGGGAGGTGGCAGGCACATAGTGTGCTCAGATCCGCCCTCAGCCCCACAGCCACCCAGGGCGGGCCTGAGGCACAGGAAAGCCTCAGATATCAGCTGCCCAGTAACATAGGGCCAGCCCAAGGTGCAGGCAAGCCTTAGATGTCGGCCACCCAGCTGCCCAGGGCTGCCTGAGACTCAGGTGACCAGGGCCAGCCAAAGCTGCAATGGCAGCAGGAGAGGTATAATGGGGGTGTTGCCTTCCCCTGATCACTGGGTCACCTCTCACCTCTGAGGGCTCCCGGACTGTGAGAGGGAACAGGCCAAGCTGAGGAAGCCCCCCTCCCCCCTGCCCAATCCAGTACATGAATTTTCATGCACTGGGCCTCCAGTGTAGGATAATCTTGGCTATTTACAGCTGTTACAATTCTTTCTTTCTTTTTTTTTTTTTAATATATTTTATTGATTTTCTACAGTGAGGAAGAGAGAAGGATAGAGAGTTAGAAACATCAATCAGCTGCATCTTGCACACCCCCACTGGGGATGTGCCCACAACCAAAGTACATGCCCTTGACCGGAATCGAACCTGGGATGCTTTGGTCCACCGGCCGATGCTCTATCCACTAAGCCAAACTGATTTCGGCTGTTAAAATATTACATTGACTGCATGGATCCTACCTTTAAAATCACACAAAACATGCCAAAACACTTTGGTCTTTTATTACTACCATTTATAGTTTCATTTTTCATATTTACATCTTTGATCAATTTGAAATTTATTTCTGTAGAATAAGAAGAACTCCACCTTTATTCTTTTTTTTAAATATATTTTTTATTGATTTCAGAGAGGAAGGGAGAGAAAGAGAGTGTTAGAAACATCAATGATGAAAGGGAATCATTGATCAGCTGCCTTCTGCTCACCCCCTACTGGGGATTGAGCCCACAACCTAGGATGTGTCCTTGACTGGAATCGAACCTGGGACCCTTTAATCCATATGCCAACACTCTATCAATTGAGCCAAACTAGCTAGGGCTCCAGCTTTATTCTTATTTCCAAAATCTAAATCAGTGCTCCTAACACTAAATATTGGACAATTATTTCTCCAGCAAGAGTAACAACATGCATTTCCCACATTAAAAATACTGGAAACTTATGTTAGTATAAGTTCATACCTGAACAGGATAACAAAATATAAAAATCAACATTTAATATTAAGAAAGGAAACTACTGAAAACCAAATCAATCTTCTAAAAAATAAATTTCCTATTTTTTATAGAAATCTTACAAGCAATATTCTTGTAGGATTAATTTTGGTATATTTAGATACATAAAGTAATCATCTATAAATAAGTAAATTCTATGTAATTTACATATATAGCTAATATATTCTTTACTTCCTATCTTCAATATTTTCCCTTTTTCTTTCTTATATGTATTCCAAATCACAATACATGGCCATGTACTTTGGTTGTGGGCACATCCCCAGTGGGGGTGTGCAAGATGCAGCTGATTGATGTTTCTAACTCTCTATCCTTCTCTCTTCCTCACTGTAGAAAATCAATAAAATATATTAAAAAAAAAAAAAAAGAAAGAAAGAATTGTAACAGAGAAATGCATGTCAAAAGCAAAGGAAGTACAAAATTGAATTGTGGATGAGAAATCAATAGCTTCTGTTGAATTAAGAATACATTGGTTTGTAGCAACCTGGATGGAAATGGAGAACATCATGCTGAGTGAAATAAGCCAGTCATTGAAAGAAAAACACCACATGACTTCACTCATTTGTGGATAATAAAGAACATTATAAACTGATGAACCAAAAGATAGATATAAAGATAGTATATCAACAAGCAGACTGTCAAATTACAGCAGGGAGGGGAGGAAGATCTGGGGGAGATAATAGATCAACCGAAGGACTTTTATACATGCACATAAGTACAACCATTGGACATAAAACGCTGGGGAGGGAGGGGATGTGAGGGAGGGAGGGAGGGGGGGCAAAAAAAAAATCAAATATATATATATATTATTAAAAAAAAAAAAAAAGACTGAAGAAAGGACCTCTTTTCCACTATTTCGAATGCTTAATAGCTAATTTCATAACATCACATGTACCATTTTAAGAAAGTGATGATTTAGTGGGAAATTAAAAGCTTTGCATCTGTATACTGTAAATATAAATGACGATTTGTTTGAAATGTGTAACTTGGATATGCAAAAGATAATAACTCACAATGTTAATATTAAATATTCCTTCAAAAAAAAAAAATAAAGATCTAAACTTTCAAAAAAAAAAAAAAAAAAGAATACATTGGGCAATAGATTTAAAAGTTTTTTTAAATGTTAAATGGAGCAGGATAACTTACAACTTCTTGGATTCTAATAAAGAAGTAATGAGGCCCTGGCTGGGTGCTCAGTTGGTTAGAGCATCATCCAGTACACCAAAAGGTTGCAGGTTTGATTTCCAGTCAGGGCATATACCTACCTAGGTTGTAGGTTTGATCCCTAGTTGAGGCACATAAAAGAAGTACCAATTGATGTTTCTCTTTCATATCAATGTTTCTCTCTCTCCCTTCCTCTCTCTCTCTCTAAAAATCAATGGAAACATATACTTAGGTAAGAATGCAAAAAAAGTAATGTGGATCATGTAGTCATTCTTTATGTTGTACTATGTGGTAATGTTTGGGTTGAGAATTGAAACAGCCATTTTTTAGTTCAAAAATAAATGAATATCAGTAATTTCATATGCTTCAACCAGATGATAACCCAAGATGAGTAAGTTTTTAAAAGTATCTATTAATGGGATAGATTATTCACTTGTTAATGGAAAACACATAAAACTATTAACAGGAAACAAAATAATACACCTTTCTGCAGAAGTTAATTCTAATCAAAATCACTGCTTGCTCATGTTTTACCTGAGTAACACCTTCCAAAATCTTTACCTATCAATAATCTCAATCTTCATCAGAATAAATTTGCCGAAACCGGTTTGGCTCAGTGGATAGAGCGTCATCAGTCTGCGGACTGAAGGGTCCCAGATTTGATTCCAGTCAAGGGCATGTACATTGGTTGTGGGCATATCCCCAGTAGGGGTTATGCAGGAGGCAACTGGTTGATGTTTCTCTCTCATCAATGTTTCTAGCATTCTATACATGTCCCTTCCTCTCTGTAAAAAATCCATAAAACATATTTTAAAAAAAAGAATAAATTTATATTTATTAGTTATAACTATAAAAATTGACAGTTTCAGAATATTTTACTTTTTCATCTATTTATTGAACATCTATAATATAACAAGTCCTATGCTACCAGCCATAGAGTACACATGAATATATAATAATTTCTAGCAATAAAGCCAAACCTATAAACAATTGACTTTAATACTATCTGATAACTACTTTAGTAATTATAATAATAGATATATAAACAAAATACTGTCAGCTCAGAGAAAGAAGGAATGAACAATGTCTTGTTAAGAGTATCAGTTGGCTTCTTTAGTATTATTTTTGACTAATCACTTAAGGCAAAGATAAAAAAAAAAAATCCCATTTAAAGTACTATATTGATTTCCTTTTTTTTTTTTTTCACTTAAATCTGTAGCTATCAGTTATCTGCATACATATACCATGTTTGGTTATAGAAATAAATATATGCAGATGACTTCTAAAAAATTTCCTAAATTTTCCTAAGTGGGTAATTCAACTAGTTCAAGTATCATCCCATACACCAGAAGTTGCAGGTTCAATTCCTGGTCAAGACACATACCTAGGTTGGGGGTTAGATCCCCTGTCTGGGCTAGTACAGAAGGCAATTTATTGATGGTCCCCTCTCACATTGATGTTTTTCTCTCTCTCCATCTCTCTCAAATCAATAAAAAATATATCCTTGGGTGAGGATTTTAAAAAAACCTCCTAAATTGACAAAGATAAATAGTTAACAGTTAAACCTTTAATAATTATACTGTATATTTGAACTGGAGGAATGCAATAATATCAGAATTGGCTTTGAAGACACCAGATATTCCAATTTTTGTCTAGACTGATTTTTCTAATCACCCATGGCATTTTCAGTTTAGAAATATTAACAGTAAATACTTCTTATCTGTTCTATTAAATAACTATATATCCTTATAGAAAAAAGCTATATACACATAAAACTACGATTGCCAGGTTGGTTAATTTTTACCTTTTCCAGGTGAAACCAATATATTTTAATGCTTCTTCAGCTAAACAGTCAAGAACATAGCATACATGCTCTCCATAACCAGACTTTAATTTTGAAGGAGGAAAATCTGCAGATCTCCCCTGAAATACAAAAGATAAACAGGATATAACTTCTTATATATATTCCAAATGTCCAAATATTTTAAACAAAGTACTGCTGAATAAATTATTATTATATATTCATTTCTCTATTTTACAAATATGATTAAAATAACTGTAATTACATTGTTTTTTAAAAATCCATCTCTATAGCCATTGATGCATAAAACACTAAAGAAAAACAAAGACTTTTTATTGTCAAAGTATCAAGTTAAAAGGCAATAAGACCTCATGACAGCAAAACAAATCATTGATATTGTTAGGGTAAAAACCAGTAAAACTACTAGCTTGGTATCCTATCATCAAACAACCATATAAAGCACAGTGTGATTCACTTGTGAAAAACACATAACATGCTTGACAAAAATTCTTATTGCCCATCCCCAGAAAAAATTAGAAATGAAGAGTACCCAGGAAAAGTCAGAAATAGAACGTACAACTGATATCATGGTCTATTAAATCAAAGTTCTCTTTCAAAATAGTGTTTCAGCTTATGGTTTTTTAAATTTTTAAGAATTAAGTATCTACAAATTTATCTCTGAGACATATCAAAATTAAGAAAAATATTACTTTGGGCTATGAAGAGTATATGTTGAGCATTTTTATTAGTGGCATTAATGTGACAATATCAACTATTCTTAGGTTTTACCAGAAAATAAATCCAGATGTAATGTTATTATGTATAGATTTATGTATGCATATAAATGTGTGTATAGGTAGACAGTTTTTCACAAAGAGTTCATCTAAAAGGCTAGCATTTATGTTGTTGAATTATCAATATTAAATTTCATAACTTGAAAGCATGCAGAAAGAAGAAAGTTGTTTACACTTACAAATGATCGAAGCTCAGATAATATGTTAGATATTGTTGCATTAGGGTCATCATATTCCTGAGGCTGCTCAAAGTGGCGTCCTGCTTTGTTAATCAACCAAGCAGCAAGAGTGCAAAACATGTAGAACTGTTCACCGGGGTTGGTAGGCAGTGCAAAATAGTGTCTGTTCAAAACAAGAGGGGAGGGTGGAATATGAAATGTTGCAAAATCTATAATAACTAAAAAAGTGGAGTCCAAAATTGCCAAGATTTTTTTTTTTTTTTTTTTTTTTTTTTTTGTAATGGCTTTAAAATCAAACAACACTCTGAAGTTTCTGGAAATCCACAATACTCACAATGAAGTTTTTAATCAACAGGATTAGGGCAATAACTATTGTACAAAAAAAAATACTAGATAAAATGCCTTACAACAGAAAGTGCAGGGCATGTTATAAAACACAGCATATAGAACGTTTGCAAAAATATTTTATGTCAGGAATAATTAATGAGTACTTACTGAAAATGGTATCTTAAATTAAGAGAACCTCAGAATTTTAAAACAAGACCTTAATGATTATTCACTATGCATTTTTACATATTTTACAATGTCACTGGTAACTTTACTTACTGTTTCTATTCTGTCAGCTCCATTCAACAGTTGTTCTCATCTTGGTTGCATATTTGAATCATCCAAGAAACTCCTCAAACTATTGCTACCTGACCAAACAGTTATTTTTTCATGAATTAAATCAGGACTTCTGGGAGTGAAGCCCCAATATTTGTTTACTTCAAAACCTTCCTAGATAGATCTAAGATATAGCCAGGATGAAGAACCACTGAATATCACATCCCCAATCTAAGAACATTTGTTGACTTTTGCCACATCATCTAACCAACTAAAAACAGTATTATGAGGATCAATATAATTTATACCTAAACATGTTAGAAATAAAATTTGCGAGCAACAATATTCACTTCAGTTTAATTAAAGAGCTTATTTTGCTTTTGTATGTGTAGCTATTAGTATTATGTTTCTAATTGTATTTATAGCTATTTTTTATAAGAATCAGAAGTCTACTTCATGTTTTCCAATTTTTCTCCTGCAGGATAAATATAAATGTCTGGGAAGCAGGATAAATATAAATGTCCGGGAAGATAACAGAAAGTTGTGAAGAAATAAAGGTCATAAAATCTGTGCAGGTAACCCCAGGAAGTCTTGGCAGGTATACCTTTACAATCCTTTTGAAGCACCTACTGGTCACAACTCATCTTTTCCTTATTGACTGATAATTCCAGAAAAGAGAAATGGATTCTGACAGATTCTGTAGACCTATGGCAGTGGTTCTTAAACTTTAGGACGCTCAGAATCACTTGGAAGATTTGTCAAAACACAGACTTGGAGGTGCCACCCCTAGAATTTCTGATACAGGAGACCCCAGAAGGGGCCTGTGGGATTGCATTTTTACTAAATTCCCGGTGCTGCTGCTGCTGCTGCCCTAAAAACCACATGATGAGAATCATTAAACTAAGATGCAAACCCATGATTCAAAGTATCACAGAGCACTCCTGAGGAAATAGCACAGAGGTTATATCAACAGAACCTTAAGGGCATTTTCATTTAGTTTAAAAAATATACTCGAGAAAATACACATATTTAACATAAAGTGTTGATTGTTTATATTATCCTGATCAATTCATTTAAGTAGTAACTCCCAATTCTACTATTTCTATCATGGATCAAACAGTACCACCTTTCCTTCTAACTTTTCTTCTACTATGGACAGACTTAGCAATATGGACTGTTTACCTAAAGCCTGCACAGCTTATAATTCAAGATACCGAAAGAGAGCAGGGAATAAGATCCACACTGTTAAGGGAAACTATCTGACCCTCCCTTTGGCCTTTAAGAGAAAGTACTACAGATTTTAACCTAAAGTGTCTATTACACAAACAAATGTAAGCATGTATTAATGTGAAGGAAAAAAGCTACAAAACTGATTTATCTGTCAATCGTATGCTACACTGATGGGAGGAGAAAGTGCTAGCTGCCCATCATCCTCAGCAACCAAGGGCACCAGAACGACAGAACTTTAGGTTCTATGACAAAGAGACAATTCCAGCGTTGCCATTTCAATTGTCTTTCCACTTTTCGGTTTCAGAGAGTCTTGTTGTTGCAAAGGCAACAAGCAGTCCTTTAGACCACGACAATCAGTCAAGGAGATTACTAAACTGCATGTAAAGAGCTCAGCAAGGTCCTGGGCTCCCAGGGTTCCCAGCTGTAGGGGCAGGTTCTTCCAGAGGAAAATAAAAACTAGAGACAGATCTAATACGGTATTGGCAATCATCTTTGGGCATGATGTTATGGGTGATTTTTTTGTGTTTTTTCCTACAAATTTTCTTGGGTTATTTTTGGTGTTTTTTCTACAAAATTTCTTGTGCTTTTCTGAGTTCTCTACAATGTATTTTACTACTTTTATAACCAGAAAACAAAAGTTTGGTATTTTTGTGGAGGTGCGCTTGTGCTTTAAAAACCAGGCAAGCTGTCTCCCAATCCTTTCTGCTGTTTTAAAACTTTATTCTTTCTACTAAAAAGCAAGTCAGAACTCCTTGAGCTCCGCGGCGGCCCTCCGTCACCAAGTTTGGGGTGAAGTGCTTCCTCCAGGATAGGAAGGTGGGGGGGGCAAGTGCCTGCTAACCCGCACCAGGCACTCCCCCAAAAGCCGGAGGAGGGGGGCACCTTCCCAGGCGGCACCCAGGTGCCGGGGACCAGGGCACCCACCTGGACGGGGGCTTCAGGTTGTTCCTCCGGAGGAGATCCTCCTCGTAGCGGAGCAACTTCAGCTTCTCCACCAGGTCCTCCATCACCACGAACATGTGGTAGGCCGCGCCGGGCCCCCGCTCCACCACCGCCTCCCCAGCCCCTTCGCCGTGGGACCGAGACACCGCATCCTCCAAACCCGACGGCGTGACCATGGCCGCGGCGGCCGCCATCGCACCGCGGACGGAAGGAGCCAGGCGTGGGCTCCCGCACGCAGATTCCCGCCGCCTGCCCAGCAGCAGCCCGGACGGCCGCGACCCGTTACTAGGCGACCGCCAAGCAACCCGCCCCCAGGGCAACCAGACTCCGCCCCCTCCCCCCGCCCAGATCCCTTCTTCATTCTCTCCAACCAGAGCGGGGTTTCTGGGTTACGTCACGTAAGGCCCGCCCCTTCCTCTGCCTCTGCGGAGGAAATGGCTCGGAGGCAGCCCCGCCCATCGGGGGGCGTGGCGTCCAGCCACCCACGTGGTGCCCCGCTGCTTCCTGCTGCTGCTGCTGCAAAGTGGAGGCGGGTCCGCTGGCGGGTCCGCTGGGCTTTCCCGCCGGCCCTTAGCTGGCTTGAGGCTGGTTAGACCTAGTGGCTTACCAAGGGCAGCTAGCTGAGAGGGCATCCGAGTCAGCTAGGAGCAGCTTAAAGGATTATAGAACAAGGAAGACTAGCAGTATTGAAGGCCGTTCCAGCCCACTGTTTTCTTTTTTCTTCTCAAAGTTGATAGTTTTCATGGTTGTGAAGATAGTTGATATACTGGATATCATTACCCTTCCCTTTACCACACCGCAACTTTCCAAAGGAGGGTCTTCTCTCCCCCCTGCCCCTCCCCCCCCCGCCCCCTTTAGACTTAGTCTTTCACTAGGGAATGCTGTGTTTGATTTAACAGTGTATTTACAGGACTGGAAGTATCATCATCCCCTGCTAGTATTACTCCAGGGCTAGGAAAGGGGTTGTTAGTTGGGAGACAGTGGGGGGAAAGAATGGCAGAGGATGAGCAAAAAAAGGAGCCATTGGGAAGGATGTGTTCCACCTTAGAAACAAGAATTCTAAATGCACATCCTTCTGCTCCTAATCTGTTTCAAACCCATTAACAATGCAGTATAACGTGTTGGTGTACCTTGTTAAAATAGAGGAGATAGTCTTGAAAGGAATGTATTTTAGCTCTAAATGTGACTGAAGACAGTATTATTAGTGAACTTTGCAGCTATTGACCTAGAAAATACAAGATAGGGGACAAATCTAACCAGAATTTTATAGTTCTCAAAGAAATCCTGTATATGAAGAAGTTTTCCTAATAGCTACATAAAAAATAAATAAATAAATAAAAATGAGATGAGTAGTAGATGCTTGGAGGTTTACTGGGAGAAGAAAAGTTATGGCAAGACGCTGAGCATGTGTTTGTGTTTATAATATGGTTTTTGAGGAATCTCTGATCTCTTATATCTACTACTAGGAAATATAGAAGAGTCAGACTTTGGACGTAGCCTAAGTTTGAAATTTATCTGTAATATCTCTTGGGTTTTGTTAGGAAAATGGACAGATGGGTGCTTTTCATTTTAATACCAGTCTAGACCTACCTTGTTTCTGATACTAATAAAGGTATCAAAGTGAAAAATCAGAAAGGCAAATACTTTTCTATTTGTGAAAGGAAATACATAAAATAATTAATTTGTGTAGAAAACAATCAAAAGGGGAAGGCCATTGAGAATTACATTTTAAATAAATGACATTGTTTGTTTGCCTACTACAAGTCATTAACCAGCTGGTTTTAATAAAGATGAGTGGTGAAATTGGATTTGACTCTACCCCATCGCCAAATTGGTATTTGTCTTTGACTCCTTAGAACAGTGTTTCTTCCCCAAACATCCCCACTCCAACCCCCACATTGTGGCATGCCTGTATAATTTTCAGAGTACAAGATGATGTATAACTTTTTAGGATTGAAAAAGATTAAAGTTCTAAATCATGCTTTAAAATGACTCTCAAAAAGGTGTTGGACTTGACAGGTTAATTGGTTACACACAGAGAGATGCTGCCTACATAAGACATTCTGACATTTCAGAAATTATATAAAGCACTCAGGATGAAATAGTCAAGCATTGTCTTTTGGCTGAGAGAAATCCTCCAACAACATATGTACTTTGTCTTGGGCAGTGAGAAGAAGGGATAACTCTCCTACAACCTAGCCATTTCTTTCCCTGGTACACTAGTGATGTATTGTGTTTTGAAAGCAGTGTGAAAAACTATTCCTCCTCCTCCCCCCCTTAATTGCTATAAAGAAGAAGAAGAAAAAGACTAAAATATAACGTGGCCCCCAGTAGCTGTGGCACAGAAATGACGAAGGAAAAACCAGCTATTCAACACTGCGTTTCCCACAGAAAGAACACTGAAATGTCATTTCATTTTTATAAGGCCCCAGGAATTACTTTTGTTGAATCTTTGTTCATAAGTTCACAATAGTTAACACTTTAAGAGCCTTTTCCCTGATGGAAGTAGTTTTCTTCACATTTGTAAGAATGCACACCCAAATTCTCTTCCGTCTGTTTCAGCCACTTGGAAGCTTTATGGTACATTTTGTTAGTATTGTTGCAGAATGAGCTCATTTGTTGACTAAGGAGATAAATAAGAGCTTGAAGAGAATGGAATATTGAGACATGTTCACACTTCTTTTCAAGAATCTTGAGAGAGCTTTATCCCTTGCTCTGTGTGTTGACCACAATGATAGCCTGGCTTCTGATTTTGATCTTTTTCTCTTGAAAACTGTCTGAGAAATAATTGGAGGTAATTTTTAAGGCCCTTAAGATCTTTCTGTGATTGGGCTAATCTCTGAAAACTGAACAGCATCCCAATCAAAGGTGATTTAAGTTAAAGGGCTTTCCCTGAGAGATGCTGAGCAAGGCTGAGGAGGAAAAGGAAGCAGGTTATAGGATGGAGGAAGGCTTTCCAGTTGAGTCTGCAAATATAAGAACAAGTTTTCCGAGAAGACTGGGCAGGCGTAACAAACAAAGCTGCTTTTTGTTACAATGACTTAGTACCATTCAGTCAGTATGATTAAAAACTTAGAAAACCACTAATTGAATAAAACTTCCTTAACCTAATAAAGAATATTTGCCAAAAATATAGAAAGAAAAAACCATAGAAGCAGTGCCTATCCCACAAACAAGACAAAGGCATGCACTCTTTGAAATGGAGCTAGACATCAGAGCCAGTACACTGAGACAAAAATTAGTAGTAAGTATTACAGAAGCAACTATCATAGGTGATAAGATTAAGTAAAAATCTAAGAGAATCTATAGACAAGCTCTTAAGATACACCAGCAAGTGTGCTAAATATGAGATCCAAATTAAAGAAAAGCCACTAGAAAAACAAAAACAAACCTAATATAGCAGCCAGGAATAAGTTTGTCATCATTAGAGAGAAATTGTTAAACTTTCCTGAAAGTCATTGAAAAATCCAAATAGGGATACAATGTTCATGAGTGAGAAAAATCAGTTATATTTATCCAGTCTATAAACTCAGTACAATTTCAACTAAAATTTCAAGAGGGCTGATACTGAAATTTGTACATAAAAGTAAATTTAAAGAAGCATGAGGAAGGAATTATGATATTAATAAGTTTCCTAATAAAAGTGTAATTTGAAATGAGATTACAGGAATAAGTAGAAAATAGCCTGGAAATGAAGTGAAAGTTTATTTTAAAATTCAGTATACAACAAAGTTAGTGTTATCAATTAGTAGAGAAAGATGAACTACTCAATAAATGCTATTGAAGCTATGGCCTATTCATGTGGAAACCAAATTATATCTCTAAATGCCAGCACATAAATTCCAGATGGAATAAGGACATAAATGTGAAATACTGGTAGGATGTGTAGATGGAAACAAAGTAGAGTTCCTTAAACCTCAAGGTAGGGAAGGATTTCTTGATGGAAAGAAGGAAAAAAATTTAAAGAAAAGAGAAACTCATTCAAATTTAAGAACTTAGGTACAAAAAAGGACTCTATAAATGTTGCAGAAATTACCAGGTGACTGGAAAGCACACAAAGGGTACTCAGAAGACTAAGGAAAAACTCTTTATTTGCAGATGCACTAGTTCAGTGACTCAGGGAAGTCATTCTCCAAAGCTGAATGATGACTGTGGAGAAAGCTGTCCTTTTATCCCCTTAGTTTCTTTGTCCCCCAAATGTGGACCAGGCTTCTAAATTTTTCATGGGCTTTGCAGCTCCCCATGGGTTGGGATGGGGGAAGTGAGATTAAACCCAAAGGCATGGCCTGACACAAGCACTGCCAACCCAGTCGGGGGTTGTGTATGGTTCATGGTTTATGGCCTCTGTAAAGGGGAGTATTCTGGGAAACAGGTTCTGCAAGGCTGGACAAGCTTTACACATAAGAATGGGGCTTAATTATACTAACAAAAATGTCTGTCAGAATACTGGTTACTGGCATAGATTCAGATTGCTAAACCCGCCCCCCCCCCCAATTGTCTTATATTCCCCCTCATAGAAAGTGAAGAAAAAAGTCATTTGTGACCCATATAATGTCAGTGGATTAGTCTCCAGAATACACAGGATTTTAGAAGTTTTTCTAGGTGAGCATTGCTCAGCCTTAGTACTATTGACATTTTAGACTGAATAATTTTCTGTTATTAGGGCCTGTTCTCTGCATTGTAGGATGTTTAACAGCATTCCTGGCCTTTACCCACTAGATGCCAGTAGCACCCATCCACAGTTGTAACAACACAAAATATCTTCAGACATTGCCAACTGGCCCCTGGGGGACATATCACCCCTGGTAGAGAATCACTGCTTTAGATACCTGAGTTGAAATGCAAATGCCTTTATAATACCAGGAATGTAAAGGTAAATGAGTGACTGAGGGATGAGGGGGTAGCAAGGGAGTGGGGGAAGGAAGGAATAACTATGGTGAACTAGAAAATTAATGCACCCATTTCAAGGAGGTGACATTTCTGCCTTGCAAGAATTTGGCCAATGTTGTCATTTGTTATGATTTTATAAGGATCTGAACCTAGATTTGCATGTAAATATAAGATGCTAATATTCTTGAGAATGACCTTTGTACACAGAAAATATTATTTCAGAGGCTACTTTAGTTGTTAAAGATATTTGATTTATTAATGCACTGAAGTTCAAAACTAAGAAGCC